TTCCTAACAGTAGGAAACTTAATCTGCATGCAGGGTCAACTTCAAAGGGAGAGGAGGTCTAAGCTGAAGAAATACAAAAGGATGCATAACCAAAAGTCATGGGATTAAAGAAGGGGAAAGTTTAAAACACAAAGTGGGAAAAGAATCACTGAGAGCAAACCATTACACTGTCAAGTAGGATCTTAGTGGAAATGATGGAAGCTCCATGACTTGGAAAGTTTAAATTTAGAGTAAACAAAGCATTAGGAGGCTTACACCCTGGGGAGCAGTCCTGCCTCATCAGGGAGACAGGCTGCTCCGGCCACCTCTGTCTCCAGTGTCTCCTCTTCCACGGTATATAACCACACTGCTCTGATCAGCTACTTCAGTCAAGTCAAAGATTTCAAAGATACGGCAATTTAGAGAGTATCTATGACTTCTTCATCAAGCAGTTCTTCTACTTGCAAATAATTGGCAGGGGGAGCTGCTTGCCAGAGAGCTTTGCCTGGGCAAAATTCATAAACAAAGCTGCACTGGTTCTGTGATTTTTAAGAGCTTTGTCACTGCAGTAACCTCTTCTGGACCCTAAGCTCACTGTTCACCTTCCTCTGGAAAGTAATTACTCTGGTATTACCAGTAGTTGCCCAAATCGCTCTTTAATTCATTGGCATTCTGAGACTGAAATTTGCCTTGTTCAATCTGTCTGTAAGCTGCAGAGAACTTCTAAAGGCAGTATGACCAATGGTGGTTCCTCCTCCCAGTGATACTAATGACGCATATTCTTCCTTTCTATCATTTTCCTCCCTCTTTCCCCTTGACCATCATAATCTTATAGATGTTCAGAGTTATGAGAAAGGGCCCTTTCTCATCCCTGCTGAGGCCACTTAGGGCTGTTATATCAGTGAGACCATGCAATATCCTGTGACTGGTCATGGGAGTAGCCACTCTCCTTGGCCTACCAACAAAGTTAGAGCAGCTAGATCATTTTCTTCTACTCTGTCACACTATTCATCCAGAATATTTGGAGAAAATAAAACCTTCTTCAGAAACAGTAACACACAAACCCACCTTCCAGCCCCATCATATTGTGATCAACAACTGGCCCACGGTTTGAGAGTCATGGAGCTACTGGGAAGTTTATCTCACCTTTCACTGAAGAGGTCAGCTCCCCTTTACTTTTTATCACAGAAACCTTCTCAGTAGATGCAAAAGAAAAAAGAAGGGAGGAAGAAGGGCTCAAGGAATCCTGTGGTTAGCATGCAAGGAATCTGCTCCCTTTTGTATAGCTGCGTCGCATGCTGCTGGAGTAACAGCGGGAGATGGTGGCAGCAAAGGTGTCCTGAATCTCACTTAAGGACAAAAAGAAATACCACATCAGCAGCACTAGTGATTCTTGTCACCAGCAACTGGTTGTCTGGGAGAGTGTTGAAAGGGATCCAGGCCACAGTTGATGCCTACACACCCTCCCCAGACTGGCTAATCTTTCCAAGGAGAGGCAGAGCACCCTCCAAGCACCACTCCTCTTGGGGAAACAAGCCATGTGGTAAAACATTGCCCTCCAAAATGCAGTTTCCTGC